CCTAAATGTATGTCATGTCAACAGTCAACCCACTAAGCAAGTGGAAAATGCGTGAAGTATTCGATAACCCATAACAAGCAACTGTAAAGATGGGAGATTCATTGCAGCAAACGAATGTTCAAGTCTAGCGAATGAATTATTGTCATCTTGCTTCAAACTTACTTATATTTCGTTATGACTTCGCTGTAAACCCACAAAGGCATATACTCTCAATACAAATTTTTATTACCATTTAATGAACATTCCTAAGGTTTGTTCATTCAAACAGTCTCATATTGTACAGGGCTATTCACCAAACTGATTCATGAAGTATTTATAGAGAACCAAAGAGACACCAATCTGTAATTTTGGGCACAGCCATTGCGAAATATGATCTCTTCAGCTGAAATAATAATATGTTCGAATAGCTGTTTCGATTTTTCAAATAGAATTGAATTCTCAAATCTCCTCATGCAGTAGTTATTTCATCAATAAATCAAGAGTTGTTCTTACCAGGAATGATTACAGATATATAGGGTGTTTTTAATTGATATTTCTCAATATTTTGTGTGAAAGCTATGCATTATACATTGAGCAGCAATATTATGGAACAAATTCATTCAAAATTCAGGCCTGTTTTTCTTGGGAAAGTGCTCGGACAAGTTGATTTTAATTTTTCCCTGCGGTTTTCATGGTAGTAGATTCATTCATACAGGGTGGCTCATGAATAGGTTTCGATGATCGACTGAATTTTTTCGAAGGGAAACACTCATTTTTTATTTGATTTTAGATTTCGGCGTAAAATTCTAAGTATGTTTCATGTATCGCATCATGGGAATTGAACAAAAAAATGTTTTGAAAGACTGAAAATGATGGTCTCAACTCTTTGTTGGGTCACAAATAGGTCTATTTGCACATTTGAAATGATTCTCTAGTCATTTCCTGGCATTCAACCCCAATTCTTCTCAACTCATCGTCCGGATCATAGTGAATTCCGTTTCATGAATAACAGATTTCGGATGACCCCAAAGAAAAAAAACATTGGGTGCCATGTCCGGCGAGCGTGCTGGCCATTTCAAAGGTCCTTCAAGACCTATCTATTTGTTTGGGAGATTTTGGGGTAGCCATTCTCTCACCTGTGATACTAAATGAGGTCACACATTTTCTTGTTGGAAATAAATATTATTTGCCAATAGATTTTGATCACCACTATTATAGAGGTCCGTAGAGGACCATTAGGCACTCAATGATTTCTTTCTATGAGGTCAGCCAAAATCAGTAAGTTATAAAACAGAACCTACTGACCTCGATAATTTGGAGGGAAGAATAAGAGGCAATATCAAGAAAAACATTCCCAAACGTTCAAGAGAAATTTTCAAATATGCTCCACCACTGACTGGGAGTCAATGAAGGTCATTTTGAACATTTTTTGTGATAACCTGTTCAATAATCTATCATTTATATTCATTTAATCTCAATTCGAAAACGTACCATTCGAACTCGAATATCTCGAGAACGACTCGTTGGAATTCAAAAAACTTTCCACTGCTGGTTCCAGAATTGATTTACCTTCGCAATGGTGTATGAAAGGATCCCTATTGCCTATTCAAATTATTGAGGGGGTTGCTCTGTAGAGTATAGGGTTCAAGTATGGTTTAGTTATGGTGTCCTTCTCCATATAAAAATCGACCTGTTTCGTCATTCATTCGTAAAATGATAATTCTGAGAGATATCGAGGTTGGATAGTCTTAAATGGACCACCTGGTATATTCGGGAAGCACTCGCAAAAATGACAAGGCGACCGTTTTGTGTGTTGGTGGCCATCAGAAACTCATTCATAACTACCGAGACAGAATGCAACGTGTGTGCGATAATAGACAGACATATCTGTTACAGTTCGTGAAGCAATATCCTGATCCTGACTGGATAGTCCTGCCTGCAATGCCGCATGAGTTGACGTTGTGCAAATGTACATGCACGACGAAGACACATGCATGCAGATTCCACAAATCTGATGAAACAAAAAGTGGAATGTAGTGAACATCAAAAAAATAAATCCTGGTTGTATCGCGTCACTAGTCTCACCCGATACATCCGCTAGGTATGAAAACTAATAATTATTTGGATCGATCAGCTGTAAGAAAATACAAGTCAAAATTCAAATCAATTCAATACATCCATTGACTCTTACAGTTTCGTCACTGTGGTCAGTGGGTACTGGTACTGGTACTGGTGGGGGACGTTTCCACGTCAGCAACTAGTCCCTAATGAGACCTTTTTGCAAAGTGTTTTCAATGACTGATGTGGTTCGCTAAAGAGAGCTGGCTAACATCCTTTTCAGGCACCGCCCATCACCCCTCTTTCAGAGTTTTTCGGCTGTGTTTTGTAGGCTAGTAATGTACTCACTACCATATCCGCAGTGGCAGGCCTGCTAACTATCCTCGTTAACCCCCGGCCGGGACCGAGGTCTACTAAGCAGCTGGCTTGCTCTCACGCTCAGCTGGTAGTTTTCCACATCCACCTACATACACCGTCCTACTTCTTTTCTGATGCTCACAACCACACATCATCATATCTCTCTGCGTGTTCTGTGTAGGCTTCGTTACTAACTCCATGCGCCACTTCAGGAGCAGCACTGTTATTCGGAACCAAACAGCGAATCGTGCAGGACTATCCCCAGCCGATGCTCCGAAACTTTACAATATTCAATTCGTTAATGGATTATTGAAAAAAGTTCCTTGCTCGTGCTGGAAATCGATCCCACGACCATGCGGTCGTGAGACAGACGCTCTTCCACTGCGCCAATCCCGGCCCGGGCGAATCAACAAGAGTTGGCAGCACCATTACTTGAAATAAACCTTCAGTCTGAAGAAATAATTGTTTCAACTATATGGAAATATAATTGTTTAACAAACTGCTTCTTTCAAATGTGAAGCACAAAAAGCTCATGCATCCATAAGTTGAAGAAGATGACTCCTTTATTATTTTCTGAGTCATTTTCCTTCAATATATCAGAACAGGAGTTGAACTAACATGGGGACTATTCTCGTATCGCTAGAACTCAATTGATTAACGAATGAATAGGACTCATTTATATGACATATCTGAAGTGGCATATGAAGGTCATATTCGAATACGATTGGACCCGTGCATACTGGGTAATTTCAAAATGGCCTGGGTGTTTCAAGATCAATCTAGATTTCTCAGAGATATTCTGAGATATCAAAGAAAGTTCTGAGAGGACCTAATCCTGGAATAACCAGAAACATTCTCAAAATCCTCATACCCTTTCAATTTTCGATATTCTGAAGCACTCTCGAAAACTTGTAGAAAAACATATTCCTTATCATCGGTGTCGAACTTCTGTCTGCTAAAGAAGATCTGATGATAAATAGCATGAACGCACACACTCACACAAAATCAGAGCGCAAAAAACCGATGTTGTGAACAAAGTTGAGAATCACTTGGTATTGACATATTGATTCGAGATCCAAGATCATCTTTGTCAGTTTTGATAATCAGAGTTCCTATATATATGAAAGGTATTATATTCCATTGATGTTCTCCTTGATTTCTCTTCTGATATCGTCCTCTTTCAAGAATAAGGAACACATAAGATCAATTCAATTGAATACCTATGTATTAACCAAATCGATATAGGTATTTTGAGTTCGCTATTCATACGTGTACACTAAACTATTGCTAGGTTAATGAATACTCATCATTATTGAATTATTTTTCTGAGACAAAATCACTTGCTTTGAGCAAACCCATCGATGAAGACAATCTATCAAGTCGATTGGTCCAGGCGGCAGCTCACCAATATAGTAATGATTTTTTTTTCGTTCGGACATATTATTCGGGTGCACACGCACTACGCGACCACTCTCACTGTCAATAATCCCAACCATTTATGAAGTATACATGCAAGTGCTCTTCAGAAAAACTAACTGCTATATTGTATTCGTAATGATTCTCCTACCTAGCTAATGCCAGTAATATGGGTTACAAATGCAGTGAATAGGTCACAGATGACGAGGAAGAGAGTCACTCATGATATTTTATTAGTTTGCTGATGATAAGTGAAAAAGTCACTAATGATATGTGATTAGTTTACTCATGATAATTAAACAAGTCAATAATGACAAGTGAATAGGTTACTGATCGCAAATAAAAAAAGTCACTAATGACAAGTGAATAAGTCAAAAAAGTGCTGTGTGTACTGACGGTTATCAAGCTGTAATTAAATTACACAGGTTGATAGTGGTAGGTGTCGTTCTCAAGAACACAAATATGATTTTTGTCATTAACTTCTTCACTTGCCTCAAATAGTATACAAGTTTTTACTTGCCACTATTGAATATCCACTTGGGATGAATGATTTTTTCCTTTCATGTATATTCCACATCACGAGGCAGCGATGTTATCTTCTGAAAATGAGGAATGCATATATGGGTGGATCATATTTTGATATTATTTTATATCATAATATGAATCATATCCGAAAGAAAATGTAAATTCTCAATTTCAGAAGAATTTCATTTCCATATTCTGATCTTGGATGTTCAAAGGATGTAATTTATTGTTCGACGAGGCGAAAAGCCAGGAAAGTAGTTGGTTTTTGTTGAATATTCCGAATGATATTATGTAAGTATATATTTTCATCTGAAAAATGTAGTGTCAGCTCCAGATGATTTTCATTTTCAAATTTTTATTATGTGTCTTCAATAAATGTTCATAATATATCTTCGTGATTGGGTTCTGTCAATTCAGACTTTTTCCACGAACATCAACTCTTCGTATAACTTTTTTCCCCTATGTCTTGGAGCGCACGAAGAGAAATTCTTCCACTAACATCCACGACTTTGTTCCTACTTAATGAATTTTTCACAAGGAAATATTACATCCCCTATAATCTTCACCCTTAACTCTTTGAATTTCATCATTTCTAGACAAATTCGACAAGTTTCTTATTCACGAACCCTTCACTTGAATAGTATAGTTGGCGGAGGTGAGGTTAGTTAGAAACGAACAACTCTCCTTCGAAACTGCACTGCGGCCATTATGTGTGCAGTAGACAGACAGGATAACAGGACAATGTACGCGCGGCCAGGACATAAATCCAGAACAATGCGACCGGAAGGACGACTGTACGACGTCAGGAAACACCGTGAATATCCTTGCTTCAGAACAACGAATCTCCAGCCGTCGGCAAAGCTATATTTGTCAGGATTCTTGTTGTGTTTCTCGCACTTGCTTGTCTTCATAATTATTTTGGATGACACCAAAAATAAACCCACAACTTTCTGTCCTGACAGATCAGCGAGAATTGGGTAATCACGCGCCTGAGTGAGAACGACCAATAACTCAAATTAGGTGTCTTGTATACTACTATTAGATGTGAATACGATTCTGAATGAACATCAATAAGAAAAAATTGTTAATCGAAAGTACTCTGACTTTCCTGTTATTTCAATTATGAGTTATTTGTTAGTCCGGCATATGGACATATACATATAATATGTTGAGGTACACTGAGAACACTTTGCCAAGTAAATCGTTTTGTTGAAATAAAGATGATAGTGACAAGAAAATGTTTGATAACGACAGAAAAATGATGTACTTGGAGCAGGCCAAAAAATATTTCTGATACAATATTCCTGCTGTAAGTGATGAGGACACTTTTGAGTATTTACCAAATCGAAATAAACTCTGAGTTCGCTAATAATACGTTAAGACTAAACTAGTGCTAGGTTCGGTATCGAAGATATATTTTTTGAGTGCTCACGCCCAACGCTACCACTTCCGTTGTCCACGGCTCCATCATATTTGTGGAGATGATTGCCAGTTCGTGAGCCGCTCTCCAAGCTGTGGGGTGTTGAGTTTTCGATCTGCTATTCTTCTGAAGAATATGACGAAATACATAACTCTCTCAGAACAGTACATAATTGTTGACATGAACAGGAGTCTTTTCCACTTCCAAGGATATTCGAAGTGAGAGAAAGTGACGTTTGATGAATAAGAAAGGTAATTCAATTTCAACTTATTCATGTTCATTACTGAAAAAAAGGAGGTGGATGCACGGAAAAAACTTCGATAACAGATAGTAAAAGCTGCATACTATATGGGACAAGTACATGCTTCATAAGCCACAAGAAAAATGATATTTCTGAATCAAATCACTTGTTGGTATTGATGTGATTTCAGGAACACATGTAACCTTCTGATATTGAACGCTTTATTGAAGACAGAATATTCGTTCTATTGGCCTCAGTTTTCTTTCTACTTGCAGTTATACAATGAAAATGTTAGACTAGGCATTCAGTACGATGAGTACAAGTGACTTGCTTCACTTGGCCTCAACGGATGACTCACCTGTGGGTAGTGTACTCCTTACTTGGAGTTATACAACGACATTATCGGCTATAAATATTTATTTTAATAACTATAATTGTTTGCTTCACTTGACCTCATCGAATGACTCACTTGTGGGTGGTTCATTCTGTCTCACCTTAGATAGATTTCATCCCATCTTTCATATCAGAATGCACCAGACTCGATCAAACTTTTTTCTTGCCTTCACTCCTAATTCACTCGGCATTGGAACAAGGATCGTTTGTAATGTATCATGCCCTATTCTCTACGTAACATTCTTGTTGCACAATGGAATGAATGGTTCAATGTCTGTAAACTTGAGTTATTCGTATATAACATAAAGAACGTTCTGAGAAAACAAAAATGAAATAAAAATTCGTTGAGGAAAAAAGGAAATGAAAATTATATACATTTTCACCAGTTTCAATTATATAAAAATCCTACTTTATAATGTCAATTCATCTCACATATTATAATCAATTTACATGAAGGAGTTCGATTTTATATCTCACCACCTTGAATAGCCTGGATTCAACTTTCGTTCTACACAGCGACAACAATTTTCTAAGAAAAACACATGTCGAAAAGTCGAACATCACTTTTGATTGTCCAACTCTCGGACACCCCCTCTAGGAATTCTAAATGACACCTCCTATACCTCTCGTGGTAATTATCCATACCCCAGCTAGCATTCACACGTCAATTTCACGTCATATACGCGTCACCAATTACGTCAAGATGACCAAATTATCGACGTGAAAGAGACGTAGATGTGACGTCAATATGTCACATCGAAAAGACGTCATTTAGCGACGTCGTCACAACGTCATTTAGCGACGTCGTCTATACGTCGAATAGTTACCAAGCATCAGATCCAGGTTCCGACATCACCAAGAAACTGTAACTCGAAATCACTTTTCCATGATCCTATTCCTTGATGGTTGGCAAAACAGTTCAAATGATCTAGTTACAATAGTTGTGGAAATTTTTCATTTGTTCACATAATTATACATAGGTATCCTTCATCTGAATAAAACTAATAAGCATAAAATCCACTATATTCCATAGTATAGACATAAACGAGTTTCAAAAGAATCGCAACCTAATAACCTCAAATTATTCTTGTACCTACGATTTAAGGTATTTGAAGATTACCTTCTTCAAATAACGACCTCACTACATCGAACAACTTCCAAGTTTGATTTGTAGATTTCGCTTTCTTGATAAGTGACCTTTTGAAAAAGTCTTGCTGTTTGAAAGGCGGCCACTACACTTAGAAAGCCTTACGAGGCGTCATGGCGTCAACTACTCCTACTAAACGAGAGCAATGCCTTTCCTCGGAATATTGTATTCCCACAAACATTTCTATTGCCTGGAATTGATAAAATATTCAGCGAACGACAATATATATTTTGCTGAATCCCACTTTTCCTTAGTATTCTTGTTTTCCATGACCCAAAATCACGAATCCGCCATTACAACATTCGATGAACTTGATCACGCATGCGCATGATTACGACAAACTGTGCTACGACGATGGCCGATAGGGGTAGCGGTGGCATTGTGCGAAACGAAGACACACGAAGGCACGGAGCACGAATTGACCTATCATAAGCATCTGTATGTCTTAACGTGGCGAGCCAATATTAAACATTTATTTATTTATTTATTTATTTAATATAATACATCCAAACAGATCATAGATCCACTAGTTGGAGTATATAACAGTATTTTGTGTGATACAGTAGTTAATCTGTTAACAAAAGTTGGTTAATTCGAGATATGCTGAAATAAGATATTTTTAAACTGGGTTAGTGAAGGTGAATATATATCTACACCATCCAACCTATTAAATTGTCTGCACATGTGAAACAGGGGACTATGGAAATGGTGGTAGGAGTTAGTTGCATCGATGTGAAAGGGGATGTTCGATCTCGAAGTAATTCGTGGCACCTTGAAATTAACTAGGGCTAGTAATTCTGGTGAGTCAATTAGACCATGTATGACTTTGTAAAGGAATGTAAGGTCAGAGATTTCTCTTCGCTTCCTCAGAGTAGTTACCTCGAATTCTTCGAGTAGAAGTTGATGATCGTAATGATTCACTGGGTAGCTGCCGTGCTTTTTGAAATAAAGAAATTTAAGAAACTTATGTTGTATTTTTTCTATAGAATCGATGTATTTTTTTTGGGATGGATTCCAGACAGTGCTGCAGTATTCAAGCTTTGAACGTACTAACGAAAAATATATTGCTTTCATTGCTTTAATAGATGAAAACTCTTTGCTATTACGAATAACGAAGCCTAATAGTTGAGCGGATTTGGCTGTAATGTTTTCTATATGCGATAAAAAGGTTAATCCCTTATCAAATAGTACCCCTAGATCCTTGCATTCATTCACGCGGTCGATTATGATATCATTTAGTGTGTAATCGTATTCCAGTGCCGATAAAATTCTTGCATAGGTCATGACTTTGCATTTGTTGACATTGAGAGGCAGATTATTGGCGGAGCACCATTCGGTCAAGTGGTTGAGATCGTTCTGAAGGGTTTTAACGTCGGAGTCATTTTGTATAACTCTAAATATTTTGAGGTCATCGGCAAAGAGTAATTTGTTGGAACTAATTACATCACAGATGTCGTTGACGAATAATAAAAACAAAAGTGGTCCTAAGTTGGATCCTTGAGGAACTCCCGACGTTGCTGAGAAAGTAAGACTTTTTTCACCTTCATATTCCACATGAAGTTTCCTGTTTGACAAATAGGACCTCAAAATATTTTGAATTCTTGTAGACAACCCAAAATTTGGCAGTTTTTGTAGGAGGTGCTGATGGGATACTTTGTCGAATGCCTTACTGAAATCGGTGTACACCACGTCTACTTGCATTTTATTGTCCAAGGCATCCGAGACGAATTGCGTAAATTTGAATAGATTTGGAGTCGTTCCACGTTTTTTAACAAATCCGTATTGACGCTCTGACAGTGATGTTCTTACATGTTCGTATATGATATCTGATAGAATGATCTCAAATAGTTTGGAAAAGACAGATATCAGTGCTATCGGTCTGTAGTTTATTATGTCTGATACATTGCCGTTTTTGTGGATTGGGCATATACGTGAAATTTTCCAAATATCTGGAAAAGTTGCATGCTTCAGAATAGAATTGTAAATTATGTACAGGGGACGAAGGAGACAGTCAATATTCTCTTTCACTATTCGAACAGGAATGTTGTCGGGGCCGGACGTCAGTTTGTTTTTTAGTTTCTTAGAGGCAGCAACTATTTGTTGAATTGAAATTTCGGGTATGTCTAGGTGCAAACTTGGATTGGATACGGTATGACGTGGTATTCCCCGATTGTCAGTAGGAGGCGAGTATACACTGCTAAAGTGAGAGGCAAAGGCGTTGACAATGGCGTTTGGTGTTGAAATTACTACATTATTGTACGTCATCTCCCCGGGAATTCGTGTTTTACTATTTTTGGAATTAATAAAAGACCAGAAACCTTTTGGATTTGATTTCAGATTATTTTCGGAATTGGTAATGAATTTTTTGTAGGCTTTGCCAATTTCCCTTTTGACAGATTTTCGCATGTTTTTGTATTTTTCCAGGTAATAGAGGCTTCTGCGTTTTCTATGCATTTTCAAGTAGTGGGTTTTCATATTGATCATACTTATAAGCTCCTTCGTGTACCAGGATGGGAATTTTTTTGATTTTTTCTTAACTAAAGGGGTGCACTCAGAGATAATAGGTTGGATAATGTCATTGAAAGTGCTACATATTGAGTTCACATCACCATATTCTTCCAAGATGTCCCAATTGGTGTCAGTTATCATTCGCGAAAATTTAACTTGATCCAATTTGTTGAAGTCAAGACGTTTGACTATTGGCAAAAAATTTTTAGTCTTCTTACAATTAATTTTTATGTTAATGGCGAGAGTAGGGTGATGATGATCCTCTTGAACAAGTGACTCTGGTTCTAAGTTAACATTGCAAATAGTATTTCTAGGCGTTAAAACTAGGTCGAGAGTTCTACCGTTCTGATTACAAATTTGGTTGTTCTGAGAAAGATCGCAAAAATTAGTGAACATTAGAAATCTATTAACTAAGTTGCTCCTTTGTCTATGAAGAACAAAGTTTTGGAGCTCTGTGATATTGAAGTCCCCAATTACAATAGACTGACTGATGTCGGGGAGGTTTTCCAGGTAGTCGAATAGTATATCGTAATCAATAAGTGAAGTGCCTGGTGGTATATATATTAGTAAGATGTTGATTGAATTATCGCTAGTAAGAAATATGTTTACGCTTACGATATCAACAGTAGCCACAGGGCTTTGGATATTGCACGAGACAGATTCATAATGATTATTGTTCACTGCCAAAATGACGCCTCCGCCGACGGTACCATAAGAGCGGTCTTTCCGATGCACTGTGAAAGAGGGTGGAAATAATTCTCCATCACGAACACCTTCTCTGATCCATGTTTCGGAAACTGCTATAATGGGGTGGTCGCAGGATAAGACGCTCTCGTAGAAATTATGTGTTTTGGAATTGAGACCTCTGCAGTTTTGATATAAGATGCTTAATTGGTCAGACTCCGTGGAGTATCTGCTGGATGTGCTGCTTAGTTTTTTCGTAGAATCGTGGGCATTCCGTTCCTGTACCCGATAAATAGATTGGTTTCTCCATTGTTATAGCGTAAGTCAAGTTCTCGTTTCAGATTTCTGTAGTAGTCGCGTTGTTTGATGGTATAGTCGCCTCTGATTGAAATTTCTTTGAATTTTTGTTCTGACCGAAGTATTTTATTGCCTTTGAGTAGGGGAATAACATCATTACAGTTGGGTAAGACCATTTTTACTGGACGAGGTTTATCTCCTAGATTCTTCCCTAATCGTGAAATTTGTAAATTATCCGTGTTAAAGTTGGGAATAATAGTTTTGATGATTTCGTTGCATACTGACTTCGTATCGGTGTCCTCGCTTAAGCCAAAAACCAGTACGTTTTTTTCCTTACGTTTTATTTCATTCATCTCGGTCATAATCTCGAAGAGATATTGGGAATTCCCTGTGGAATCGCCTACCTTTTTTTCAAGTTCATTGACCTTATCGTGCAGAACTGCTATCTCGTGTTTATATTTATTTTCTGTAGTTTCGATGCTTTTTTGCAGGTTGTCCAGTTTTTTGTCGAACTGTTCCAATCTGGCGTTCAGGCCGGCAAGAACACCTGTGGATACCTTATCGATGATGTTTTTAAGGAAATTGTCGTCTTGCCAGATTTGTTTTAATGACACTTCGGCTACACTCCGAACTTCGACGATTTGATCGCGTGTTAATGGCATATTGGAAAAATGAAGGCACCTGGTATAACCGTATTTGTATACATATAATAAATTCTTGAATCTTTCGTATCTGTTTCCAAGTTATCTCTATCATGGTTTTTTTCATTAATATTCGTTCTACATATTTCACCACTTAGTTTTATCCATGTCGGGTATACGAGAATCCTTTACTAAGGTAGGTAAGTACCTATTTTATTCTGATAAGCGTTCAATCATGAGTCCTGGATTTGCAATTCATGGATTGAATTCTTCAATATCAAGAATTATTTTCCGATTTACCACGGCCACCAATGCATCCTCACACCCAGCACTCTCGAGAAGTCATAACAAACTTACGCTGGTTGGATTCAGAAATATAAAAGACATCTCGGCGATTGTTTCCGATTACTTCCGATTGATATATTGAGTCAACATGTTATATTACCGTAGGAATATTAGGTTTCACCGCAGATAAACAATCGCATTGTGCTTGTAACTTGAGTTTCTGTTGTAATTATTTCCATTCCAGAAACTCGAAGTTAATGAATAAAAAAATACACTACACCAGGACTATACAAAGTGAATCATCTAGGATGAAAACTATTGGCAATAGGTCAGTAGGTGGATGATATTATAGCTACAAGTTCATGCGCTCAGATTTATCATTTTTCAAGTGGCGAAAGGTTTTTGTTTCTGTGATTAATAATATTTTTCTCATCACGATACGAAACGAGTCAAGAGAACGTTTCACTTGGACCATTTTTTTCGTGTATTATTTTTCTTATCACAATACGAAACAAGTCAAGGAAACGTTCTACTTGGACCATTTTCTTCCGTGTACCAGTGCATCTGATGGACCAGTCATCTCGGCGCATGATCCTGACGTACCCGTTATCTCGTGTCTCAATATTTGTCGTCAAGCCTCACCTTTTCAAGATTTTTAGATTCATCATATATTGAATGTTTCAAAATGCATGAGATTTTGTCTCTTTACCAAGGTTATCATTTTTCAGAGAACAATATTTGTAGTTTCTATAGTACCTAGCTACTGAAAGGTGAGTAATTCCCTCATAAAGAGTGAATGAGTCACTGATGACAAATGAATAAGTCAATAATGATATGTGCCTAGGTCAGTCACTAAAGACAAATAAACAATTCACTAATAACAAGTGGATAAGCTACTAATCGCGAATGGATTAGTCACTACTAACAAGTGAACAAGTCATTGATGACAAGTGAATGGTTCACTCATGACAGGTAGGTGAGTCACTAATGGCAAGTGCTATGTTCACTAATGGTTATCAATCTGAAATTCATTGAAACAAGTTAATAGTGTGAGGTCTATATTTCCAAGAAAACAAATATTTTTGTGGTTATCAACTGGTCTCTTTGTCTTAATTAGTATACAAATTTTCACTAGCTACTATGAAATATCCACCCAGATGTTCCAGGAGCTTATCTTCAACGTGCCTTTTCATTGTTTCTGCGACCTTCCATCAGTGACCGTCGCTGGTTATAGGAAAATTGCAGCTGCTTGCTGCACTACTGCGTCTGCATCGCTGTAGCCATAGCTTGCTGCATAGAATTCGGCATGAATTTTAGGAAATCTGGTGAAATTACTATCTGAGTGGGCTGGGCAGTGAAGGAGATTGTATTAGCATTCTCACCATACTCACCTGGGGTTGTTGGAGTCGAAGCTGTAGGTGCCTGTTGTTGCCTTGGTTTCAAGGTTGATTGGGTTTGTTCTTGGGGTGTAGCTTTCGTTGTCACTACTGAGTTTTTAGGGATCTTGAAGCCATTTCATCAGCTAACTGGTTCTTGACAATCAGCGCACTTGTAGGCATTTGTGGCATTGGATGATCTTCTTGAGTCATTGATTTTGTACTCCAGTTTTCACTGCATATCCGCAGCAACTTTCAGTTTTTAAATCCTGCGGTCTGATTTCTCATTAGTACCAACAATATATACTTTTTCGTTCTGAGGAATTTCATCTTGTGCTCTGCCAGGATGGAGAGTTTTTTGATGTCTGTATAACTGATATAGTTTTGGCCATTCACTCTTGACACTGTTGATTCTATAACCACGAAATTCGGGACCCAATAGTGATTAATTCTTACAAATCGCTTCGTGATACAGAAAACAGGATTCCATTTAAATATATAAGATGATACTGCAGGAATATTACAAAATGTCATCTCCTATCTGAACGAAAAAAATCATCATAGATTTCGAAACGAAGACATTTGGGTTCATCAATTTATTTGATCATTATCTTCAATTTCAACTCTGTCGATATCAGTCCATCCTCTCACGATTATCAAAAAATATATGAAGGCACCACATATTCAAATAGTCCAATGGTTGGAATTTCGAATGTTTCGAAATCGACCCATTCAAAATTTTTTCAAATTGATATGATCGGAGAGAGTAACATAAAGAGGCATCAATGCACTCTGCCTTGTTTTTCGGATCACGAACAACATATTCCCAAAAATACCAGTGATGAACTTTATGGGTAGGTAATGAACTTTTGAAATCCTGGAAAATCGAGTAGGATCCATGATGATACATTAAGATATACTTTGTCTTATTTCAATTAGTATCGATTACTATATTGCACCAACCTCGTAGATCAGATTTGAAGTTATAATGCGCGTGCACTAGTATTTCCCAATTAAATTCCTGAATTTCATTATCAAGAAATGAACATGTTTTACACGGTTTAATTATAACACTGTTTCATTCCCTATTTGAAAGTACTAATAAGCAACGAAATTACATCGCAATCTCTTGCAGGCCTCATTTCAAGAATAACTGTTATTTCATACATTGTCCTGGCGATGTTATCATGCGTATCGTAGGATGCTGGGGGCAAGTTGATTAGGTAGAGTAAATTGGCGTCGTTCCGTCTGCGGGTTATGACTAGATCAGTTTTTGATAGGAGTTGATAGGGATGTTTGCGGCTTCAAAGGGGTATCATTACGTCAACATCATAACTTTGACTTCCCTAATGTATACATACATTTGATTTCACTGTTATGTTCTGTAGGCATATCAGGAATCCCAGCTGATTTTTGAGTTCTATTTACGATAGATGGCTACGGAAAGAATGAAAAAACATTATGATGATTTTCTCAACGAAATGGAGATAGTTTCGAAAAATTCTTGCTGCAAGAGCCGAACGGTAACAATATTGGTTAAAGATCTGGGGAACTGATCGTTATCTCATTTTGTGTCGCTTGGAATTCATACATATACACAGGGTGTCCCGAAATTACATCAAAAGATCTCAACCACAGATTCTAGGAACAAACATAGTGAAATAAGTTCATGGAGACATGGGTGCAAAATGTCCCCCTAGGAGGTTATACCAATCTGAGATGATGTTCTTTCGTGAATATTTCCGAAACTATCTGCGATGAAATAATCAATTTGTGTACATGTGAATTACTTCTTATGCTTGATTTGATAATGTTGAGAGTTGTACGAAATTTTTATGTGGAGAATAAGTAGAGATAGCAGCCCTCTTTTTCAAGCTTGTTGGTTATTGTTCTAGAAATATACAGGGTGATTCACATAAGAACCGACATAGATCAGGGGCATGATTCTAGGGGGTCCCAAAATATGGTAATTCAACGCAACTTACCTCCATACCATAGGCTTTGAAAGTGAAGTTATAAATTTTGAAAAAAATCAATATCTCCGTTATTCTTGAACTTGAAGCAACCAAAGTTGATACACTTTGTGGAGGTATTTAGGGCGTTACTTGACAGTAACTAAAGTATAATTGAAATTTGTAATTGGATTCTGAAAATCTTCGCTTCGTTTTGTGGGCAATTCGATTCTGAATTTTTTCTTAGTCTAGCAATTTCTCGAGGAACCTCATCATTTTCATCAAAAACTCGAATAACTGAAAACGCGTGCTCTAGGTGTGTTATTTGAAATCATCGAAAATTCGAAAGTTGGCTATGAAAATTGATATTATTTGTTCAGGTTGTTGTTTAAGTTTTTGTGTTTATTTTGGTTATTTGTTAATCCCAGTTTTTCACATTTCAGTATCTGTCCTTACTTTACGTATTTTATTAAGTATCTAAATAATAATTTGCCAGCCAATTTCTACTGATCACAATTAATGACCTACTTTCTTGTTGTACGTTCATTTTCATAGCCAACTTTTTATCTTTCGATGATTTTAAATAACACACCTAGAGCGCGTGTTTTCAGTTATTCGAGTTTTTGATGAAAATGATGAGGTTTTTCGAAAAATAACTGGAGTAAGAAAAGTTTCAGAATCGAATTGGCCACACAACAAAGCAAATCTTTTTGACATCCATCAAGGGTTAACAAGATTCTGTTGAATATTAATGGTGCGCCACCCGGTATACACCCTGTAAAAATTTCAATTGAGCTCTTGTTACTGTCAAGTAACGCCCTGAATACATTCACGAAGTGTATCAACTTTGGTTGATTTGAGTCCAAGAATAACGGAGATATTGATTTTTTTCAAAATTTATAACTTCACTTTCAAAGCCTATAACTCCTAAGGGAAGCAACTTGGTATAGAGATAAGTTGCGTTAAATTGCCATATTTTGGGACCCTCTACATGCCCCTGCTCTATGTCGGTTCTTATGTGAATCACCCTGTATATAAATATTTTTTTATTCAAAAAAGGTACTCCTGTTCAATTTCGATAGAATTCACTATTCTCGTGATGAATTGATGTCGAAAGTTTGCTGCGTAATAATGACAATATTTTTTCTTGATAGGATACCTACCATATCATTTTCAATTCATTCTTCTCATTGTTTTCACCATAATTTGAATCAAACTCCAGAAGTAAATGTCGAAAAAAAAACAGTCAGCTTTTGTCTGATCCCTGAAGGAACAGACGAGTGCTCTCTTCTACTCAACCTCTACTAATAAATTACAAAAATCAGGGATGAAGAGGGGTGAACAGAGTACATGAAAATTCATTGTACAGCTTTGAAATCGAGTATGGACTGATGGATTGAGATTGCCAGATGAAGTAGTTAACTCTACCTGCTATGCACAAAATATTTATGAACAGAGGCCCAAAGTAGCAACAGTGGAGACAGGTACAGGACGTTTACCTACCTCGATACCTACAGTATGAGCCATGGGTCAATGTTATCGAATCGACTTGGAATCAATAAGGAGCCAAGGGAGAGTAGGGTTTAATTACTAACCCTGGGTGCAGCCTGGAATACTGGTTGATATTTTTAGTCAGGATAATTACAGTAATCAAAGCAAATATCTTTCGGTCCTCTGTTATTTTCAAGTCAGGTCTGGAAAATTATTTATTCCACCTATTTCATTGAGTCTACCTGGAGAATTGGAAACACAGTTTCAAACGAGTTAAACAGATTCAAGTCTTATTTATCTTCCTTTTTCCTTCGATTCTTCAAATTTCTATCGGAATTTTAGTGATGTCAATTATATTTTTCCATTCATGTCAAAATTCCATGAACCACACACCACCGCCTGACAGGACACAAAGCACAGGGAAACCGGTGCACATGACTAGAACGCTTAAGGAAATGATGAGAAGAAGAAAAATCGACAACTGGCTTGTCAGTGTCAGCCTTCAGTCAATAATAATAATAATAAGCAATTTGAGGGATGAAAATAATCGAGAATCCTCAAATGAATTATTGGAACTATTCGGAACTGAAAACAAAGACAACAGACAAAGAAATATGGAATATGCAGTCAAAAGATTGTGGAATATTTTTATGATTTCAAAAATGGTGATTATATCCTTATGAATAATTTCTTTGCTAGCTCCAATTGGATGTCCTTTTTGAACGTTGATGATTTGAACCTGATCTCAACTAAATTCTATGATGTTTTATATAGCGCCATTCATGAATTTGTTCCTCTGAAAAAGTATCAATCGTCCGCGTTCCCCATATGGTTCAACAGTGAATTGAAACAAACTATTTTTGAAAAAAAAAATGTTCATAAGGAGTATAAAAATGGCAATATAGAAGCATATAATCGGTTTCAATTTCTCAGGGAACGGTGTAAAATCTTACGAGATGAATGCTATTGGAACTATATCATTAGAACTGAAAATAATTTTTTTTCTAATCCTCGCCATTTCTGGAAATTCATTAACGATAAGAAAATGTCCCATAGTCTTCCATCTCGTATGGTATATAACGATATATATAGTGATAATACAACAATCAATCAAATACCTCACTATCACTTCAATAACACTGCTGACGTTTGTACTTATACTATTGATATCAAAGAAGTTATTGATTTGGTACTGTCATTACCTATGAAGTTGTCAGCTGGCCCAGATGAGATCCCATTGTATTTGATAAGAAAATGTATTTATACTTTAGCAAAACCCATTCACTTGCTGTTCAATTCATCTCTTGAGAAGGGGAAGATACCTAACAACTGGAAACACAGTTTTGTTGAAACTATTCATAAAAGTGGTTCACGGGAGGATGTTAGAGGTATTTGTTATCAGTCAGAGTTACCAAAAATGTTGGATTGTTTGATCACTAGAAAACTATCATAGGATTTTAAAAATATTATATCTAACCAACAACATGGTTTCTGTCGGGGTCGATCAACATCAACAAACCTGTTGCTTTATCAAAACTATATCATCAATTCATTAGAGAATAAGCTGCGAGTAGACTTTATTTACACAGACTTCTCTAAGGCCTTTGATAGAGTTAACCATAGTCTGTTACTTGCTAAACTTGAAGCTTTGGGTATAAAGGCAAATATTCTAAGTTGAATCAGAAGCTTTCTCACTAGTAGAGTCTAATATGTGAAATATGGGAGCTCAGTTTCACAACCAATCGAAGTACCATCAGGTGTACCACAGGGATCTCACATGGGACCTCTGTTATTTAATCTTTATGTTAATGACCTCTCTGATGTCATCATCAACAGTTCCTTCTTGATGTTTGCCGATGACCTGAAGATGTTCAGAACGGTTCAATGCATTTCTGATGCTGAGAATTTGCAGCCCGATCTAAATAATTTTTCCAGATGGTGCCATATCAATTTATTAAAACAGAGTTTGAATAAATGTCAAAAGATAACATTTTCACGAAGCCATGATGGTATTCATCATATTCACAGAGTTAATGATACTAATCTATCAGTAACCAATACAATCAAAGACTTAGAAGTAATATTCGACTCGAAAATGACCTTCAAACATCACATAATAGAAACATCATCTCGTGCTCGGAAAATGCTAGGCTTTTCCCTTCGTTCTGCTGAAAAACAATCGGTTAATGGTGTTAAAAGTATTTATTGTGCACAGGTGAGGCCTATTCTTGAATATATTTCCTTGATCTGGTCACCATTTTACAAAGTTGATTCTGATCTTTCAGAGGGTTGTCAAAATAAATTTTTAAGAAGTTGTGCATGTCACATGGGATTCAATAGGGATGAATATACCCATCCACAAATATTAGATATTTCAAACATGAATACTTTGATACATAGAAGAATGGAAATTGATCTATTATTCCTCCATAAAATTATCAATCGTTACATTGATTCTCCTGAAATTGTTGCTCTGATTATGCTTTCCGCAAATACAAGAAGAAACAGAAATAGTGACATTTTCAAGATACCATTCTGTAGGACAAATTATGGCCAAATTGAATCAATGAATATAATTATGAAAATAGCAAACACAAACAATCACCAAATTGAACTTTTCAATTCATCTTTATTGTCTCTCAGGAGAGCGATAAAAAACTGTTAATCACTTTTCTCATAATCTTTATCTTTCTATTCGTTTTAGCCTTCTACATTTTTTTTGTGTCAGTCTTCTTCATAGATATGATAATATGTACGTGCTCTGTATTTTTATACTTTCTTTTTGTAAATTGTATAATTGGCTTG